TATCACTCAATATTGAATAATTAATAACGTTACTACATAACAATTTATATTAAAACAATCTAATTTTAAAAAACTCAAATTTAGATTAAAATAATATTGTTTTGATCGAAATAAAAAATTATATTTTTTTCTTATTTTTTTTAATCTTTTCTTTCCTTTTTTTTCCTTCCTTTCATTTTTCTTTATTTTCTCTACTTGACCTAAACAACCCAGATACAATCATCTCACTCATCATATTTTTTGCATTATTATTCATTTATCATGTTCTACTAAAATTTTCCGGAGATAATAAAAAACAATGCAAAACTCAAGCACTAACTTATCAACAAATTTGCAAACCCATGTACCACCGACTAACCTGTCTGACGATGGTATGGACACATCATAGACGGGAGAAGTAATCAGGAATATGCCTGCAGCATTAGAGAGACCAGGATCACCTATCGCGAACCTTCGTGCGACAAAGAAAGTAAGGAATGATGACGACCTGGAGATGACGAATGCGGGAGAAGATGGCATTGATGTCCTGATGTCTGAAGATAATACTCTAAAACAAGTGGATATAGAAAAGAAAGCAGGGAACAATGAAGGTGTTTAGGGCATATGCGGGACCGGTGATAGGATGGTCGAAGAACAATGAAATTTCAGAACATGTACCAAGCCTTGATGATGTTGTTGTTGAAAAAGATGATGTTACAATTGACAACAGTGGACCAGTACCATCAGTGGACTTCTCGGAGAAGGTGCATGACCGAATCGATCATAACAACATGCGAAGATCAGTTATAATCAGACTGCTAGGACGTAGGATTAGATACAAAACCCTATTGGCTAGAATTCAGATGTTAAAAATTGTGTGGCATGCTTTATGGGCAAGAGCCACAAATTGCCGTTTACTCAATCTAATACTCAGTATTCTGCTCCCTTTGAACTCGTTTTTTCTGATTTGTGGGACCTCCACATGTTGTGTCAAATGGATTTCGTTATTATATATCATTTGTTGATGCGTTTACTCGGCACACATGGCTCTATTTACTTAAAGATAAGTCACAAGCTTTGTTGGCTTTTCAATTGTTTCAGCAGCTAGTAACAAATCAGTTTGGAGTCACAATTAAGGTTGTTCAGTCAGATTGGGGTGGTGAGTATCATTCCATCTCATCCGTGCTTGCCAAGTCCGGGATAGTTCATCGAGTTACCTGCCCGCACACGTCGGAGCAAAATGGCGTTGCAGAACGCAAGCATCGCCATATTGTTGAGCTTGGTCTTGTGTTACTAGCTCAAGCATCCTTACCTATGAAATATTGGTCCTATGCTATGGTGACTGCAGCTCACCTAATTAATCGACTTCCTACAAAGGTCCTTGATGGGATAACTCCGTTTGAAAAACTCTACAAAAAAAGGTCCGATTACTCTTCTCTGAAGGTTTTCGGGTGTCAATGTTTTCCGCATTTGAGACCGTTTCAGAATCATAAATTATCATTTCGATCTCAGTCGTGTACAAATCTGGGTTTTAGCCCACAACACAAGGGTTTCCAGTGCCTTGCAGATGATGGTCGTGTTTATATATCCCGTCATGTGGTGTTTAATGAGGAGGTTTTCCCTTTTGCAGGAAAAGATTCGAACCTCTCAATCACCCCAAGCAATCTGTTCCGGTCGCAGGCAATTCCTATTACTGGTGATCTTCGAAAATGGCAGCATGGGACTAGTTCAATTGCTGGAGAGGGAATTGTGCATGAAGGAGTTATAGATGAGGTTTTGTGTCAACCCCACTTTGCTGCTGCTCCTCCTGTTGACATTGATTCAACTAATGAGTCTCCAGACGTTGCTGAAACTGGTTTACCTGATGAGTCTTCGGACGTTGCTGAAGCTTAAGATGAACATGATATCGAATCAGGTTCCATACCTACTGATTTGCGTGTGAGTACGAGGCAGCCTGAACATGCAAGTACATCATCAGTGCAGCCGACACATAATTCACATTCTATGTTGACGCGCAGCAAATGTGGAGTGTTTAAGCCAAAGACATACTCAAGCTATTTTGAAGCTGAAATACCTTCTACTGTGCAAGAAGCCATGTAATCGGCTCATTGGAAAGAAGCTGTGCAATCGGAGTATGATGCTCTCCTTAAGAATAACACATGGTCGTTGGTTAAACTTCCTGCCGGTCGCATTCCTGTCGGTTGCAAGTGGTTGTTCAAACTTAAGCGTAATCCGGATGGTTCTATCAACCGGTACAAAGCACGCCTTGTCGCGAAAGGTTACTCACAGGTTTCGGGTTATGATTTCACAGATACGTTCAGTCCCGTTGTGAAATTCTCAACCTTTAATGTTGTGTTGGCCTTAGCTGTATCAAATGATTGGGAGTTAAGGCATGTAGATGTGAATAACGCATTTCTTAACGGAGATTTAGATGAGGTTGTGTTCATGGAGCAACCACCAGGCTTCGAGCAGGTTGCCGATGATGGAACGCCTCTTGTGTGCAAACTTCAGCGGGCTCTTTACGGTCTTCGCCAAGCTCCACGTAACTGGCATGCAAAGCTTCGAGCCAACCTAGTTCAGATAGGTTTTATTGCTTCGCGAGCTGATCCATCGCTCTTTATTTCTAGACGGGATGATGGTGACATTTATGTGCTCGTGTATGTTGACGACATTGTCATTACCGGACAATCGTCTAATTCCATTCAAGATGTAGTGCAACTCCTTAGTGCCCGATTTTCTCTTAAAGATCTTGGTTCCCTTAAGTTTTTTTTGGGAATTGAGGTACTTCGCTCTCGTAGTTCGATTGTGTTATGTCAGAAGAAGTTTGTATTGGAGCTTCTTACAAAAACAGGAATGAAGGGCGCGGCTGCTTGTTCCACGCCAATGATTCTAGCTTCCAAGCTCTCGGCAGATGAGGGGAAGTTGCTAACCAATGCTACTGAATATCGCAACATCGTTGGGTCTTTACTTTATGTGTGTCACACACGTCCTGATCTAATCTATAGTGTTGGGAGAGTTGCACAGTTTATGCATACTCCACGTGAAGCGCATATTGTTGCTGTTAAGCGAATACTTAGATACTTGGCTGGTACTGTTGACTATGGGTTGCTGTTCGCATTGGGTGATGTTGGGTTGACGATTTCTGCATTTGTTGATGTTGATTGGGATGCTAATATAGACGATCGTCGATCAGTTTCTGGATATGGTGTCTTCGTTGGTTCTTGTCTTGTTACATGGAGCTCCAAGAAGCAAAAAACTGTGTCGCGTTCAACGATGGAAGCAGAATACAAATGTGTTGCCAACACCGCAGCAGAAGTTACCTGGGTAAGTGCATTACTTGCTGATCTTGGAGTAACCCCGCGACAGGAACCGGTTATATGGTGCGATAATACGGGCGCTGTGGCGTTGAGTGCCAATCCGGTTTATCATACTTAGTCGAAGCATATTGACTTGGACGTTCACTTTGTTCGGGAGAAGGTTGCGTCTGGATAGATGCGGGTTAACTATATTCCTGCACCGCATCAGCTTGCAGATGGTTTCACTAAGCCTCTGTCGAAGGTTGCATTTGAAGATTTTCGAAGCAAAGTTGGTGTGGTGTCTGGATCATTTGTTTGAAGAAGATGGCAAAGAAGAGTAGGGAGAATATTAGACTATTTTGTATTTTGATATCCTATTCAGCATGTGCACGTGATACGGTTAGTTGTTGCCAGGTTGTTAGCTAGGTTGTTAGGCTAAATAACCGACTTCACAATGTATAAATAATGTAGAGGTTCATGTGAAAATGCAGATAATTTTTCAGTAGTATTCTTTGCTTTTCACGTGTTACAGTAGTTTCTTAAGATGTGGCAACCGGAGGGTCAATTCCAAGTGGTGGACCTAGAAAACGGCTATTATATAGTTATGTTTGAGAAACAATGTGATTATGTACATGTTCTTAAGGATGGCCCCTGGACAGTGTATGGAAGCTATCTTACAGTGCAGCCTTAGAGCAGAACCTTCTCCACTTTCCAGAGCTTCCCCACTCAAGTAATAGTATGGGTAAGATACCAAAATTACCTTTTAGGTACTACTTGAAAGCATTATTTAGGTACATTGCTCAGGTCATAGGAAAGGTGATCAACGTCGATTATAATACGTATGCTGGAGAGCGAGGGAGATTTGCAAGATTGGCGGTGAAGATAAGTTTGAATAAGCCACTTGTTCTAAGTATACGTATTTATGGTGTTCTACAACAATTAGAGTATGAGGGCCTGCAACAAATTTGTTGTAGGTGTGGGAAATATGGGCATACGATAGAAGGGTGTGAAAACGTACAAGTACCCAATAATGCAGGGGAGCAGAAGGAAACGGAATGGCAAGCATCAAGAGATGGAAGATCCGGAAATGATTCAGTTTATGGACCATGGATGGTCGTACCAACAAATGTCGTGCTCAAAAGCGGACACCAATAAATTATAAAAAGAATCAGCGAATGGATACTAATAGGGCTGGTTCTCGATTTCAAGCCTTAGAAACTGAGGAAGACGATGATGATCTTGAGAATATAAGTGGTCAGGAACAAGAGAATCCAACTGAATTGAGCGAAAAGATACACGAGATGAGGAATAGTGAACCACAAGGAGCAATAGCGATTAAAGATTACCCAAAAAGTTTGAAGGGAGGAAATCCAAGTCCCAAAAGTGTTAGTTTGACAGAACAACCTAAGGACCAGACAACGGAGAAAGGCAAAACGTATATCAAAGGTGATGACTTCTAACCAAACAAAGCACCTAATAATTATTTCCCACACTAGCAACGCTGGTAATGGACATCACACAGCAGTGACTATAGGGAGGAAGAACAACTAAACCACGTGGAAATTCAGTGCATGGGATGAGGAACCAAGGAGGTAGTGGTTCACTAGGGACCACACTAGGACGTAAAAGCTTGAAAGTGAAGAAAACTAAGGAACCTCGTGCTCAACCAAAACATGTGTTAAAAGATTGGATAAAATCTGTCGAGCGACAGATTGAAACACAAGTATGGCTAAGGAACCAGGAGGACAGCTGACAAAAAACATAGGAGTTGACCCTCCAGGGCAGATTCTGAATGAAGAAAATATGGAAATTAAACATAATGCTAATGGAAACAACACGGAAGGTTTGGTTGAAGTAAGGGTGCAGAAGTTTGAAGATATCACTCTGAACCAGTGAAGATTTCATCACCACTTCATATCTTCTCTATGATGATTAACTTTCTTTTTTGGATTTGCCAAGGCGCAGCGAGCCCATCATTTCGGAGAATTTTCATAGACTCTTTGTCGCCAGCACCAACCGAAAATGGCTGCCCTCTTCAAGACAAGGATTAGTGGAGAAAATGTAGACAAAGTAATTACACGACTGGGATATCCGAACTCCTTTTGACTAGAAGCAAATATCTTTAGTGGGGGTATTTGGGTGTTGAGGCCATCGGTGTAAGTAGAAATATTAAATATCTCCTCAGAATTTGTACATGGCCGAGCTTGTGACGAAGGATCAACAAGATGGGTATGCTTTACAGACATTTATGCCAGCCCCCACGCGACAAAACGAAAAGAAATATGGTGTCTTTTAAATGCGCTGAATCCAAGAAAGGGAGAAGCTTGGTTGCTTGAAGGTGACTTTAACTCCATCATTCAAAGCGACGAAAAGGAAGGAGGTTCAAACCGAGGAACTGGTGTTAGTAAGATGTTTCAAGGCTTTATCTTTGAATCAGAACTCCTAGAAGTTGAATTTAGAGGAGATGAATACACATGGAGACGAGGGAGACTTTGGAAACGATTGGATAGGTGCCTTTTAAATGAAGGATGTGCTAACCTCTTCCTTATGTCCCTCGTTACACACTTGGCTCGAGTGGGATCCGATCATTGTCCGCTCCTATTTCATGCTCCAAAGCTGAGTGGAAGGGCGGAAGATAGACCATTTCGCTTTATAGCAGCGTGGCAAGAACACCCAAATTTTTCTGATTTTGTGCGAGAGTCATGGGAAGATAGGCTGAATGTTCTAGCTAATATTGAAAAAATTAAGCTAAAAGTTAGAGACAAGACATCAGTATTCGGCAACATTGGAAAAAGGAAGAAAATACTATTAGCTCGACTTCGAGGGATCGATAAAGCATTACGTAGATTCCACTCAAACCATCTGATTCAATTGGAGACAACTTAAAATGGAGCTTGATGGAATCTTGGCACAAGAGGAAAGCTTATGGATGCAAAAATCACGACAACAATGGGTAATGAATGGAGATAAAAACACTAAGTTCTTCCATGCGTGCACTATGCAAAGAAGAAGAACTAATTACGTTCAAGCACTCAAAACTTTGTATTCTGATCATGAACAACTTCGGCAAATGGAAGTCGAGTTCTTTAAAGAACTCTTCACTAGTGAAGGGACCGATGGCTATAACTACAAAACGAGAGGCTGTTTTCACCGTGCTATAGCAGCTGCACTGGAAGAAATGGGTCGGCCTATTAGTATGAGGAAATAAAAAAGTAGTTTTAATATGGGTCCTTTAAAAACACCTGGAGCTGATGGCATACATGCTGTCTTTTACCAAAAAATTGGTCAATCGTTGGTGAGAGCATCTGCAGATTTGTGAAAGAAATAGTTGATGGGGGTATGTTTGAGGAATCGATGAATCGCACACTTTTGGTCCTTGTACCCAAAATTAAAGCCTCGGAATTAATATCTCAATTCAGGTCGATCAGTCTATGTTCGGTAATATACAAAATTGTAACAAAACTTATTGTAAATCGACTGAAACCTTTACTTCCTAATTGGATCTCTCACAACCAAACAAGTTTTGTCCCGGGGAGATTGATTACGGAAAATATCATTATAACCCAAGAGGTAATGCATTCCATGCAGTCGAAAAAAGGAAAAAAAAGGAATCATGGCAATCAAAATCGACTTGGAAAAGGCATACGATCATCTGGAGTGGTCGTTCATAGATGATACACTACAAGATATTGGAATCCCTGGGAATATTCGGTTCTTGACAATGCGGTATGTTTGATCTGTATCGACACAAGTGTTATGGAATGGATCGACATCAATACCATTCAAGCCCACTAGGGGAATCCGACAAGGAGACCCCTTATCACCTTACCTTTTTGTATTATGTATAGAGAGGTTGGCACATACTATACAAAGCAGCATCGAGAATGTTAGAAACTAGAATAAGAAGAATATAGCACTATATTAGAATTTACAATGAGAAGTATCTTCTTTATTGATACACAACACCGTTTTTATACAAGGTTTACACAGCAAGCTAACTAAGACTCTATCAAATGCTCATAACAGCTACATTAACAACTTCTTAACTGCATAACTGCTTATAACACGTCAACAACAGATTCAACACTCAACATTCTCTCTATTTTTTCCCTTCTCCCCAAGAAAAGACTGAACATTAACTTTAGTTCTAAAAACTTCAAACTGGGCTACAGCCAGAGGCTTTATAAATCCATCAGCAACTTTATGACTTTCTGGCACATAATTCACCACCACTTGTTTCAATGCAACCTTCTCATGAACGAAATGAACATCAAGCTCTACATGTTTACTTTTTTCATGATAGACAAGATTGGCTGTCAAGACAATAGCACTGCTGTTATCACACCATACAATTGGTATTTTTTGCCTTGCAACGCGCAGATCAGTCAGAAGAGCACTCACCCACGTTGTTTCAGCAGTAACGTCAACAACACTTTTGTACTCAGCCTCCATAGTGGATATGGAGATTAAATTTTTCTTTCTAGAAGTCCACATGACTAGATCATCGCCTACAAACACACAATTACCAGAATTGGACTTGCGATCATCAGTGTTTGCAGCCCAATCAACATCAAAAAATGCTACAACATTGAAGCCTGCCACTATAGGTGCTATCACCAAACCATGATTAAGTGTTCCTATCAAATACCTCAAAATTTTCTTAACAACAACAAGATGTCCTTGCCTTGGAGAATGTATATATTGTGCAACCTTATTAACTCTAAACGCAATATCTGGCTGGGTATGACATGCAGACAACAACGCTCCTACAATACTCTGATATTCATAGGCATTATGAAGCAACGAACCCACATCTTAATTCAACTTAGTAGACACAAACATAGGTGTAGAGGCAGAATTGACAGTACTCATCTTAGTCTTCATTAGCAATTCTAAAATAAACTTTCGTTGGCTAAGAATCAATGAACCTCTACACTTTTTAACTTCTATGCCCAGAAAGTAATGAAGATCGTCGAGATCTTTTAAGGAAAACTCATTCCCAAGCAACCTCACTGCTTCTTCAGTCTTCACACTCGACTCCCTAGTCAACACTATGTCATCAACATACACAAGTATATAGACACACCGACCGTCTGCCCAACGAACAAACAACGATGTATCTGCTGAAGATTCTTTAAAACCAATTCGAACTAGGCAACTCTTAAGCTTGTTGTGTCAGTTTCGAGGAGCTAGAAGTAGACCATACAATGCCTTCTGCAACTTACACACCAAAGGACTACCATTAACTGTCAGTTGTTCGAACCCGGGTGGATGTTGCATGAAAACTTCCTCATGCAAATCACCATGCAAGAATGCATTATTCACGTCCACCTGACGCAGCTGCTAGCCATTTGTTACTACCAATGAAAAGATAACATTTAGTGTTGCAAACTTAACAACTGGGCTAAATGTCTCACCAAAATCATGACCTGGCACCTGCAAGAATCTTTTTGCTACTAATCTAACTTTGTATCTGCTAACAGAACCATCATGGTTCTTTTTTAACTTGAAAATATATTTGCTCCCAACCATTGATCGTCCTTCAGGGAGCTTCACCAAGGTCCATGTACCATTTTTCGCTAAGCTTCAAACTCTGCATGAACTGCAACTCTCCAATGAGAAGATTGAAGTGCCTCATACACATTTACAGGTTCTACATCATCATAGCTAGCCAAATACAACTTAGGCTTAAATACACCACATTTACTTCTTGTCAACATCGAATGACGATTCAAAGAAATACTACCACCATCCAGTGAACTTTCACCATTATCAACCCTTGTAACAATTGTTTATAATAAAGAAGCAATGTTGACAGGAGGAACTGGAGCTGATACATGCTCCACTTGATCCACCAACTCATTAGCCTCAGCTGCACCAGCTACCTCTTGTTGAACTGCTGCTCCCAGAGAAGTAACACCCTCATCTACAGTAACCTAACCCATCTCGCCAGAATCTTCCGTAGTATTATTTGAAGTTACACCAGCTACCTCTTGTTGAACTGCTGCTCCTAGAGGAATAACACCCGCATCTAAAGTAGCCTAACTCGTTTCACCAGAAAAATGAGAATCTCACACTGTACAAGTACCATTGGTTCGCAATTAATGCATATCAGTTAGAAGTTCAAGTGTTGTGGACTTCTGTTTACAAGACATAGAACCATTACTTGAACTACCAGTCTCTACAAATGGAAAAGAAAATTCATCAAAAATCACATGTCTATAAACATATATCTTGCCACTAGCTGCTAGGCACATATAACCCTTGTTCTGAGAGCTATAACCTAAAAAAGTGCATGGTTGAGACCGAAACTCAAGTTTGTGTTGCTGAAAAACTCTCAAGTGAGGAAAACACTTGCACCCAAAGACCTTCATGAACTCATATTCTGGTTTCTTCCCCCACAGCTTCTCGTGCGGTGACAACCCATTCAAGACCCTAGTAGGAAGCCGGTTAATGAGAAACACTGTAGTAATAGCTGCATAATACTGATAACGCAAAAGTATAGCAACTTGAGCTAAAAGTACCAAAGCAAGTTCAATGACATGTCAATGCTTCATTTCTGCCACACTATTTTGCATGGATGTGTGAGGGCAAGCAACCCAATGAATGATTCATCTTTCACCAAAATAAATGAGAGGATGTAATATTCCCCACCCCAGTCGCTTTGCACAGCTTTCAGAGACAACCCAAACTGAGTGGAAACCATTTGCTGAAACAACTTGAACATATTCACTGCCTACGATCTAGCTTTCAAGAAATAAACCTAATTATGCCTCGAATAGGTGTCAACAAACGTTATTATCCAGTACTTCAAACAAAGTGTTTGAACATGGTTCAACTCTCCATGACGTTGACTTCACAACACGTTTCGTTATCTTTTTTTCTGTCCATGGTGTAACACGATGTTCCAATGTTCTTGTAAATTTAAATAAATAATACTTAGTAAAATATATGATAAGTTACGAATTTAAAGAAATAATACCTGCATGGTTTCTTTTCTTGTAGTACCACTGTTGAATAGAGGCTCGAAAAAACTCCATTAACATAGTAATGGGTAATTTCCGGGAATGATGACTTAGAGCGTTGATTGATTCTACACTATTAGACGTCATGAAACCATATCTTGATCCAAGTTGATGTACTCTTGACCATCTTTCAAACCCGACATCTTCTAGTGTTTGAGCATACTGAGGCAAAACACATCTTAAACAGTTTATATGCTTATTAAAATCCACTTCCCGATAAGCTTTTACAGCCTTCCAGTATGTCCATTTGTGATTTTTTATACCAGCAGACCTTGATTTTAGATTTCTATACAAATGAACACCACAAAGTCCATGAAAAGCATCTGGGAAACACCTTCTAACAGTGTTGTCAATTGAGTTTGCCCTATCGGATATGATTGTCATATTGCTAATAGGACCTATGCAATCCCTAAGATGCCCCATAAACCATGTCTATGAATCAGAGGTTTCAGATTTGCCAACCCCGTAAGCTATTGGCAGTATCCCATTGTTAGCATCCATGGCTACTGCTAATAAGTTTACTCCAAGGTATCGACCTTTTAAATATGCTCCGTCAACTATAATAACTGGGCGTATGCAATTAATAAACGAACGAATCTACAAAATCATATACACAAGAAATATAATCATTTAAATGTGAAATGCATGTAACTAACAAAAATGAGTCAACAAAATTATATTGATTTACTAACCGCAACACCAATGGCGATAAACAGCAACTCAAAGCGTCCATCTCTATCTGTTTTGATATGAGTTACCGACCCAGGATTTTTCAGCTTTAAATTGTGACAATAAGCCGACAGTTGGGCAAACGATGCTTCTGGCTACCCTCTCAACAATTCCAAGGCATAACATTTGGCT